CGGGGAGCTCCTCCGCCGCCTCCGCCCCGCAGCCGCGTCCCGCACCCGGCTCTCCGTTCTCCCCGCGGAGCTCCGCCGGAGCCCGGCCCGCATTCCTGGCATAACTCGACTCGACCGCAACCACCCTCCTCCTCCCCATCACCCCGCTCCAACGGGGAGGATGAAGCGGCCGCATCCCGGTCCCCCCGCGCTTCATCCGGCAGCGAAGGCGAAGGGCAAAGCGGTGCCCACCGTCACCGCGCCGCCCGGAAGAAGAAGAAGGAGAGTGGTGGTTGGGAGAGCCCGGCGGATGGCGGCGATGCCGAGGCCGAAGGCTGCGGGAGGGTGGTCCCCCGTCATCCGTTGCCCGTGGTGGCCCGTGTCTCCAAGGTGAACATCCTGCCCTTCGGCAGCCCCGGTGGGTCACGGAGCAGCAGTCGTTACTCCAGCACGGAGACGCTGAAGGAAGAGGAACAGTTTGGGATCTGTTGGCCCAACCAAGGACGGACTCTCCAGGCGGGTTACGGCATCTACCGATCACCCAGTTTCGGGACGAGCGATGGCCTGGCATGGGGACAGCCGGCCCTCCGCGTCCGTCCCAAGCTACCACAGGGCACAGACAAGGCAAAACTGGACTTTGGGGGTGAGAGCCTGCACCAGCCAGGGCTGGAAGGGGAGCGGGCCAAGCACCGCAAATCCTTGTCCAACCCCGACATCGCCACCGAGACCCTGACACTCCTCAGCTTCCTCAAATCAGACCTCTCGGAGCTGAAGGTGAAGAAGAAAGGGGTGAGGATTGGCCTTGACGCAGGCTCTGATGGCTGCTCTGGCATTGCCAACCCCTCCCCGGGCAGCCACGGCGCTGCTCAGCCCCCCAACCGCTGGGCGCCGGGCGAGCGGCCAACGCTCAAGGACCTGACGGCCACTTTGCGTCGAGCCAAGTCCTTCACCTGCTCCGAAAAGTCGGGGACACGGAGGCTTTTCCTACAGAGCACCATGAAGCAGAGCTCCTCCGAGCTCCTCCTGGCCACTGCCGACAGCCAGGACCGGGTGGCTTTGGATGGGGGACAGCCGGGGGATGATGATGCTCTCCCCATGGTCATCCAGGACCAGTACATCCAGGAGGCGAGGCAGGTCTTCGAGAAGATCAGCAGGATGGGTTCCCAGCAGGACTATGGCTTCACAGCCGAGCAGAAGGACAGTGAAAGTGTGGAGGGCACCGAGGTGGTGGCACCGACAGGGACGACGAATGTGACCCTTCAGGGACGGGCAGAGAGCACACGGTGTTTGAAGGAAGTGGAGTCGGAGATCATCACTCGCAGGAAATCCATGGAGGAGCTGTCGGGTCACGAGTCGAGCGTGACAGACGAGGGCATCGTCACGGAGCCAGAGCCCGCGGGGATGCCCTTCCAAGACCTGCATGAAGCCGTGGACGCCTGGACGCTGCCCAGTGCTGGGCCAGCAGCCGGGGACACTGAAATGCCACTGCCCGCTCACCCGGCAGTGGTGGTTGAAGACCTTCCAGCTGGCAAATCCGAGACACCGAGCACCCCCGGCAGCTTGCGACGTCGACGTAAGTTCCCCTCAGCGGGTGCCAATGGGATGGAGGGTGGCAGCGAGGGTGGCACCGAACCCTACCGCTCCCTGAGCGACCCCATGCCCCACCGGAGATGCTCGGTGGCGGAGGAAGTGAAGAATTTCTCCGTTGACAGCAACCTCCTGGGGTCACTGAGCACCAAGGCGGGGATCCCCCAACCCGCCACCATTGCAGGCAGCGCAGGCAGCGCAGGCAGCGACCTGTCGCTGGGCAGTGATGGGCCGCGGGACTACAGCAGCCTCATCCAAACCATCGTCAGCCAGCCTGGTGCCATGGCTAAGCTCATCGATGAGAAGGGCAACGGCAAGACCATCAAGAAGAAGTCATTGAGCGCCCCCAGCCGCCGCGGTGAGCTGCCGGCCGGTGCCTTTGAAGGTCCCGGTGAGGCCATCAGCGAGCTGGAGCCCAGCATCCCACCGTCCAGCAGTGAGCCCATCCTCTCAGCACAACCAGCAGCACCGGGCACCGGCCGTGGTTATGGCTTTGACCCCAAGTTGGCAGATGTGTTGTCCCCTCGCATTGCCCGGCGCAGCTCCAAGAAGCGCTCCAACCGTGCGGCTCACCAGGAAAACCAACCACCGCCAGCGCCTACCGTCCT